GCAAGCATTATCCGAATGGATTTCAGCATAACAACTGGAGAAAAGGTTTCATCATAGTCAATTCCGTGGATTTGTCTATAACCTTTTGCTACCAATCTAGCTTTGAAGGTATGAACCTTCCCGTCTACGTCTGTCTTCTTTTTGAAGACCCACTTGCATCCAATGGGTTTTACCCCTTCGGGCGCATCAACCAAGGTCCAGACTTGGTTTGTGTACATAGACTCCATTTCAGATTTCATGGCTTTGAGCCATAGATCGGATTCGGGGCATGTAATTGCCTCGAGGTAGGTCTCTGGTTCGCCTTGATCTACCAACAAGACGTCACCTTCATCAGACATGAGAAATCCATATCTGACCGGAGGATTACGTATCCGGTCTGACCTACGTGGTATATCTTGAGCAATTTGAGGTTCAATTGCTTGATTTCTTTGCTCAGGTTCCAACACTATCGGGACTTCTTCTTGTGGTTCTCGAATTTCTTCGAGGTCTACCTTTCTCCCACTAGTGATAGCAGAAAGAAACTCCTTCTCAAGGAAAGTTACATTCCGAGCAACGAAAATTTTGTTATCGGATGGATGATAGAACTCATACCCTCTAGTTTCCTTGGGGTATCCCACAAAAATTACTTCATCAGATTTAGGCTCCAACTTACTAGACGTCATGAGACGTTTTACATAAGCTTCAAAGCCCCAAATCTTAAAGTACGAGAAACTCGGTTTTCTCCCAAGCCATAGTTCGTATGGTGTGCTCTCGACAACTTTAGATGGAACTCTGTTGAGTGTGTGCGCTGCTGTTTTCAATGCATATCCCCAAAATGATTCTGGTAATGTTGTCAGACTAATCATGCTCCGGACCATGTCTAGCAAAGTCCGATTTCTCCTCTCAGACACTCCATTTAACTGAGGTGTCCCTGGAGGAGTGAGTTGGGATAAGATCCCATGCTCTTTCAGATACTCATCGAACTCCAGGCTTAAGTATTCACCTCCTCGATCCGAGCGGAGGGTCTTAATACTTTTGCCTAATTGTTTTTCTACTTCGTTCTTGAATTCTTTGAATTTGTCAAAGCATTCCGATTTGTGTTTCATGAGATACACATATCCATATCTACTAAGGTCGTCAGTAAATGTAACGAAGTAAGAATAACCACCTCTAGCTACAGTGCTAATTGGACCACA